GATTATATATCATGTGTTTCTGCATTTTATTTCATGGAAAATGGCAATTCTTTTATAACTGTAGTGAGCCACATGGAACATTGAATGAGAAACATTATTATAGCCACTAATTATTATAGCTACTAGTTTATTGATTCTTAGGCCTCTGCCAGATATTTTGTTTATATTATCTAATGTTCATGCTCATCTTCAAAGGGAGGTAGAGTTCTTAGCATCTTACAGGTGGGAAATTACCCTTAGGCTTAAAGTAAATTCACTTGCTCAAGGTCATATAGAGTCAGGTCTTCCTGGCTTCAAGGCCCAGGCCTTTTCTACTAGACTGAGCTAGCTACTGCTTTAGATGGGGTAAGTGGACAAGTAAGGGCTTCAAAGTAGATTTACCAGTAGTTGTTGTTAAAGGTGTTTCTGGAAAAGAAGAAATTAGTATAAAAAGGGTCCAGATGATAAAGGGTGAGTGACCTTAGCTTTTCTTAGAAATGATTAAGACTAGTTTATTTTTTAATCCATTATCTTTACATCTTTTGAGGGGTAATTTTTATTGCAATTTGAAACCCAAGGACACAGTTTAAGTGATTGAAATTTTTACTTCAGTCACAAAACTCTTCATAGTAATCATAGACTGACTATTACCAGAACAGCAGTTTAGAATTTTCATTCCATTGTATATATATACATATAAATTAGCCTTCGGACTCAGTTTCTATAAATAAGCCACAAATTTAGAAGCCCAAGGAACAAGTTGAGGCTTTTTATTAGAGAAGATGATTTTTGCTGTGGATATGAAGAGTGTCTATATTGTATATTTGTTTTCAAAGGGGTATTAGGTTTTAAGGACTGTGAGTGCTCCAGTCTCACCTAATGGTTCTCCTCTGACCCCTTTCTCCCTCTGCTCCTCACAGATACTTCTTGTGCCTTCAGCTCCGGCAGGACATTGCCTCTGGCCGCCTGCCCTGCTCTTTTGTGACTCATGCTCTCCTGGGATCCTACACCCTGCAGGCTGAACTTGGTGACTATGACCCAGAAGAACATGGCAGCATCGACCTCAGTGAATTCCAGTTTGCCCCTACTCAGACTAAGGAGCTGGAAGAGAAGGTGGCAGAGCTGCACAAAACCCACAGGTCTGTTGCCTTGCTTACTGGCGAGAGAATGGCCATGGTAGATTTAAATAGCTTCTCTTGTAGCACTTACTAGACGTTTGAGCACGATTTACAGGATTATCCAATTTTTCCTTTTGGATCTTCACCTAGCACTAATCAAGACAACGTGGAGCCCTTGAGGTATCCTTTCATTATTTTTATGACTATCGTATGAAAAACTATGCTCGTGAGACTGTATTTTCATGTATTGGAAAAATGTACTTTTCCCCATGACACCTTTTTCTCCCTGTCCCCTTAACATATACACATTGGAGACAAACATGCCCACATACTTAATTGACGTTTACGTTATATTTCTTCTGCCTTGTAATTTTCCTTATTACTATATGTGGTAAGAAAGCTAGGGAGATAAGGAGGCATTGGGATTTGAATTACCAGTGCAGGTGGTGATGGACATAGGAATAGTAACCGAAATGTACAGGTAATTCCACTGGAAGATGACCCATTGGTTTAGTTAAAATTACTTACATTACATTAATACCATATTACGCTTCGAGAACATTTATATGTGTGTGAAAAAAAAATGGACTTTTTACACAAATTTTTATAACGCTAACTACAAAATGATAATTTGTTGTATATTGCAAAGTTATAGTTTTATTAAATATTTACTAAAGTGATCTGAAAGGAACTTTCAAAATTTAGGTTTTTAAACAGGCCACATTCATTGATTTTTTTTCTTTAAAAAACAATAAATATGGTATTTGACTCTAAATATTTTCTTGTTAATTTACTTAAATTCTACTCAATAGACATTTGTTGTATAATTCTAATATGAAATATCAGGTACTGACATGCCATGAGGAATGTGAAAATTAATGGGACATGGTCTTGCTCTTTAGGAGCTTAAAGTTTGTTTAGTTGGGCATATAGATAGGAATGGAAATAATTTTAGTATGGACAGAATGCGATTTGTGTTACCTATCGTAGGTAGAAAATCAAATACAAGTAATTTCAATCTTTATTATAATCAACTTTAGTGAAATAAAGTGAAGGAGTAAGAATATGTTTATCACAGAAAGATGAGATCACGGTTTTTTATTCTCCAGTACTTATGTTGTACTCTATTGCTGGGGCTTTTTTCCTCAGTGGAAATAATCAAAAGCAACTTTTTAAGATAAAAGGGGTAAGAGTGGAGGTATACCTCCAGGCAGTTTAGCAGGTTTAGATTATAGGATCTTAAGAGAAAAATGTTAGAGGTTGAGAGTTGTTTTCTTACTATTTCCTACTTTTCTGCAGACTTGGCTGGGTTACTTCCTCTCCTCCAAACCGTCTGAGTGCAGACACTCCTCCCATTCTGACTACATTTGCTCTGCATCCATTAATAAGATAATACTGTTTCTTTTGATTCTCAGGGGCTTATCTCCAGCACAAGCTGATTCCCAGTTCTTAGAAAATGCAAAGAGGCTTTCCATGTACGGTGTTGACCTACATCATGCCAAGGTACTGTAAATGTAACGGGAAGTAGCATCATAGCAGTCTGTTGACTGAAGTGTTGAGAGGGCTCCAGTTTCAGGAGAGCACAGCTTATTTTTGGGGAAAGGATATCTGCCTTCAGTTGAAGGTCTCTGGAATATTTCCTTGGTGACTAATTACAGGGTGTATGGTTGTGGGAGGGACCATGTATTCTCCCTCTACCACTTCTTTTCTCAGTCTTTTTAATTAATGCCCTTTCATAGGTACTTACTGTGACACACCTTGTCAGCCTTCTTTTTTTTTTTTTTTTTTTTTTTTTACCTCTTTTCCTGGTTTATTCTGCATCTCAGCTTCTGCTAGGCCAAGTGCTGTGTCTGTCCCAGTTCCCTCTCCCACCTCTGTCTTGGGAGAGGAGAGGAGACCTTAGCAACCATGAAAGAGCAAAAGCAGCATGGATAGGACCACTTTCCAAAACGCTTCTGTGTGATGAAGGAGCCCTAGAGTTGGTCTTTTCCCTATAGGTATGTTTTGTACTTTGTGAAAGATAATGTAGGCGGGCCCAGGCTCTGGGTGATAAAGCACCTTCAGTCTAATTTGAAAGGTGGTAAAAGAGTGGGACAATGGGGACATGGGAAGCCAATCATAATCCCGAACGAACACCATAATCCCAAAAGATCAAAATCTCAAAAATATAATGCTTGAAAAAATAATTTTAAAAGTTATTTAAAAGACATTTATTTACGTTTTTAAGGGGGGATTTGAGAAACATGCAACAGACCTTGATAGACTACTTTACACGATAAATTAGGCAGTAGTAACATACATATTTTTGCAAGCATAAACATTCCGGTATACTGACAACAGTCACAGGGTATGAGTTACGAATAGACGAATCCTGTTCATAGAGAAATAAGTCAAAAGGTGAAATGTGTAAGTGCACATTACTATAGTTGCTTGCCAGTAACAATATCACTTACTTCATGATTCTAGTTTAGATGATTATGTAGTGGGGAGAGTCAAGGAGGAGAATGACAGACAAGGTGAACTATGGATTTGGTTTTAAAAAAATATGTCCAGTGTCAACGTGTTCTTTTTTTTTTTTTTTTTTGAGGCGGAGTCTCGCTCTGTCGCCCAGGCTGGAGTGCAGTGGCCGGATCTCGGCTCACTGCAAGCTCCGCCTCCCGGGTTCACGCCGTTCTCCTGCCTCAGCCTCCGGAGTAGCTGGGACTACAGGTGCCCGCCACCACGCCCGGCTAGTTTTTTGTATCTTTTAGTAGAGACGGGGTTTCATCGTGTTAGCCATGGTTGCCTGGTTTTAAAAGACCCTGCCAATCTGTAGGTGTTGTTTAGAAGCCCAGATTATATGATTTGAGAAATCTCAGAAAGCTCCCCACACAAAGATGTCTTTCCTCCCTAGGCCTCTGATTAATAATTCTTGCATTTGTGTTATTAATCATACTTCATATTTACAAAGCACCCTTTTTCTCCTCAGTGGCTTCCTTTATTTAAATATTTTTCTTTATTATAAAACTAATACATTCATCATAGAAAATAGAGACAAACAGAAGAAATTAAAGATCACGTAAATCTTTTCATGCAGAAATAAGCACTCTTAATACATTTTTTCTTCTTTTTTAGATCCCTGATCACTTGAATTCACATGCCTTCTAAAAATGGGGTCATACTATGAGCATCATTTTTGTTAGTTTTTTTTTAACTTGGTACTATAAGATTTTTCTGTCAGTAAGTAGTCTCTGGCAGCAGCGTTTTTAACTACTAGATGCTGTATGCCCTTTGTTTTCAAAAGCACTTTCATACCGTCTCACTTCTTAGAAGTATACCATCTCATTTAAAGTTTGAATGTTTTTTAGTTTACAGCTACATAAAACAGTTCAGAGAATGACTTGTTTAAGGCTGTGTATTGTTAAACGGTCTATCTGCCTGACACCTTCTGATAAATCCTAGTAGGAGGTGAAACAGATTGTCTTAACACTCCAGTGTTTTTCAGATCGTTTTCTATATAATGGGGACGGGCTATGTTAGTCAAGAAACAGAAGTAGGGAGGAAGGAAAAAATAAATTTGGGACCAAAATGACCTACCAAACCTCTCCTCCTGCAGACCCTGCCATTCTTGCCACATGTAAATCTTGCAGCTCTACTTTGTTGATCATTAGTTAGAAACCAATTAAGGTTTCAGGATTCTTGTTTTTAATGTTGTGTCTTAGAAAAGTAAGAAATTGCGCACTCTGTTCTAAGTATAATATTCTTTCTTGCTGTGTAGTTAGGAGCAGAACACTAAAAAAATTCAAGGTAACCTTCATTCTGTTTATCATCTGATAGACTCGTTAGATAATATTTGATAAGCAAGATATTTGTGGCTTATTGAAAAGAATATATGTGGCAATTTAAAAGAACGTTTCATATTTCATGTTGTTTAAAGTTTTGTGTCTTTTAAAATTTTTCATTGACTTAAAATCAGATTTTTTTTTTTTTTTAATTAGAAGAGTTTGTAATGTCATATTCATGTTAGGATGAGTTGGAGAGTGTTAAATAAAAGGAATCTCAACAAAGGTGCAGAGAAACCATAAGAGAAGCAGGACACTGGTGGTAGCCCTGGGCTAATATCTGCAGCTATCCTAATCACTGTAGGTCTGTCTGAAGGAGGGAGGGCAGAGTGGTTTCCAAAACCCCCAAGGAGAGACGCGTGGAGAAGACTGTTTTGCGGGGAGCCATTGTCAGAGGGACACGGTCAGCCTGAGGTGACCACGTAGGGAGGGAATCTGGGTATTAAACACCCTGACCTCCCTTTCCTTCCTCTCCTGATCCTTTGCGAGAACTCTCTTTATACTGAATTCATTTGAAAGCCAGCCATCTCCATATGGGGCAGTGAGCAATGCAGAGAGGGTGCTTCTTTTCATTCGTTTATTTTTCTGATTTTGCTACCATGTGGCATAACTTACATATGAAGGATGGAGGCCCGCCTTTTCCTCTTTCATTTCCTACCCTTCATCTGTCGTTTCTATTCACACAAATACTGGTAATTCTAAAATAATTACATAGAACAACGAAAATCAACTGATTTACTTGAATCTGAGTTGTGTCTATTTTTAAGTCAGATAAAATAGTTTCCTTGTCCCGTCCCAAGGTTGCTTCAGACTAGAGATGGCTCATTCAATGTTTCAAATGCGGGTTACTTCCCCACTTGTGATGAGCACATGCCGTCTCAGGCAATCTTCTGCCTTGCTCCCCGTGGCCATGGGCAGCGATGGTTTTGGCAAACACACCATGGGGTCTGGTGCCAAGTTGCTTGGGCACCTGTGCCTGATTCACCCCAGCTTTTTAGTCTATTCCTAGAGAGAGTTGTGGCTGCCAAGATAAGGGTGAGTAAAGCAATCGATTGGATTTTTTAAAATGGCTCAAGTGGGTCTAATGTAATTTTATTTGTGTATATGAATTATTCCAGTGTCACAGCAGAGAAAGCAACTGGCATCAGTTAGCTAATACTATACTTTTATTTATGAAAAACTGGTTTAAATGGTATCAAAATGTTCTTAGTAATAAGACAGACAAAGTGTTGTCCTTTTATTAAATTGGGAGTTAGACTAAATATGGGGTTTGTTACAGCATTTTTTGTGAGAATTTTTTTTGTATTGTTTGTGATTTCTGAAAATGTGAATATCTTTGAGCGGTAGACTTCAATTTTACATATGTTGAATGAGAGCCAGTTCTCCTCTTAGAGATAAACAATAATTTGTATATTTTGAATACGTGCATCTTAGATCTTCACTGCTTGAAATGTGAGGAGACAGGTTTTCATTTTTGTCTGTAAATTTGTTTGGCTTTTAAAACATCTCCTTTAGGCCTGTGATTATTCTAGATTGTCATTGATTCCAAATTAAAGCTCTAGGGAAGGAAAACTATTAATAACTTCAAGAATAGTCTGCAGTCCTTTGAAACATGCCGGCCAAAGGAATGCCTAATGAGAACTGGATGTCAGCATTCTAAGTTAATGAAAAACTTAGAATGAATTCAGAGATTTCAGCACTGTCAGCGTGGAAGAGAAATTATCTGTGAGGGATTGGTGTTTTGCAAAATATTGGCATAATTTTAAGAGCTATTAGCTAGGGTAATCCATCTGAGGTAAATGCACCTAAAGGAAAGTGGTTGAACACATCTTAGGGTAGGCCAACAGACTGTCCCTGAGGCTGGACTAGCCTACAGGGAAAGCTCATTTTGTTTCCCATATCTTCAGGATCTCTAGTTCTGCTTCCTTTCTTCTCTGTTAGCTCCTACAGTGGAGCTTGAGAACACATGCATGACGCCTTTTGAGGGACACCATGTCCTACAGTCACGTTGCCATAACTCTGGCAAATCACACCTGATCGCTGAAAATGTATAAATTTAACATGTACGTGTGTGCGCCGTAGTTTTCATTAACGTGCATACTGTCACTAAAATTTAAATACAAACCTGGTAAACTGGCATTCCTGATCATGATTTGAGGGAGCTAATGAGCTTCTTGATTTATGTAACTTTCACAGCTCTAACCATGGTTAATTGGGTTATGCTTGGCAGGACTCAGAAGGTGTGGACATCAAGCTGGGTGTGTGTGCTAATGGACTTCTCATTTACAAAGACAGACTGCGAATCAATCGTTTTGCTTGGCCGAAAATCTTAAAAATTTCCTATAAACGCAGTAACTTCTACATTAAAGTCAGACCAGCAGAGGTAAGCAAATACATTTCTGATCAGTTGTTCTTAGTCGGCCTCTTTACGACCATGAATTAAAAAATTCTTTCCTCAAATTTTAAGAAAATAAACTATTTATTCTTTCATTGTAAAAGGTCAGGGTTCTTAATGGTAAAATTACAGTATATATATGTCTGGTCTGTTTTTTAAAAAAGCAGCCATCATGCTTTTTACAGAAAAGAAAACGTGATAAGGTGTGGGCTTGTTTTTTTCTTGTTGAATCAATTAAGTTGTGATCATTAGGAAAGCAATAAAATGAGTTTTAGTGAACATTGAAGGATAGTTGGTTTATGTGAGTAGTTGTTACTTGCTTTTTGTAGAAAATAGTATTGCAGTCTATGAAATTCATCTTTATATGATTATATTAGACATGCAATATTTTCCTTTTTTGAGAAGAATAATTGCTTCTAACAGGAACATCTGAATCCATGCTTTTCCATGATTTCTAGTCAGTTCTTAAGGAAATATGCTGATTTGTTGTATGAATTTATTCCAGCTGGAACAGTTTGAGAGTACTATTGGATTCAAACTGCCCAACCACCGGGCAGCGAAAAGACTATGGAAAGTGTGCGTGGAGCATCATACTTTCTACAGGTAATTTTAGGAAAACAGCTCAGAAGCTGGGCATAATGGCACACGCCTGTAATTCCACTGACTCAGGAGGCTGAGGTGGGAAGATGGCTTGACCCCAGGAGTTTGAGGCCAGCCTGGGGAACATAGTGAGACTCCATTTCTCTTTTTTTCTAAGAAAGAAAGAAAGCAGCTTGGTATTGCTTTTAGTAACCTCTGTGAATTAGGAGGTGGTAGTGGTGGGAAATGTGGCAGATGCATTCACCCCCTGCCTTTGGACTCTTTTCTCCCCTCGCCTCTTCTCCTTTGTCTGCAGTCCCTCCCAGGTCCATTTCTGTCCATGCATTGTCATCATGCAGAACTGAGCTGCCCCTGCAGCTGTCTTAACTGTACTTTCTGACTCTAACCACCTTTCCTTCCACCACAGCCACACTGCCTCATGCCTGCTACCATTCTTGACTTTCCACTATCCCTCCTCTTAGGTTTCACTTTGATATTCTCATCAGCTGCCTCCTGACTTAACTTCTTTCCCAAACCAACTTGAACCCTGTGGTCTGCCTGCTTTGTCAGGAGTGTTATGACCGCCTCAAACTACTCTCCTTTTTGCACATTTACCTTGTCTGTCGGCTAGTCCTGGATTAGTCCTGTGTCCTGACCTCACCACTTTTGGACCTGTGCTGTTAAGTGCTACCTTAAATAGTACAATTGTTGTGACACATGCAGTTACTCTATATAACAAAAAATAGCACAACTGTATGGATCAGTGCTCTTACAGATAAATAATTTCCAGCATGAGCTGGATCCTCAGTGCTGCTAGGCAAGCAATTTGTCCTTTGACTTCCTTTGCCACTCCAAATGCTTATTGTCCTCGTGAGGCCCTAGGCACCCCTGCTTCCTCTTCTGATGCCCTCCACTGTGCCGGTCACTGAAAGTAGAAGCTGTGCGTCATGAGTGTTCTTGGTTTCATGCACCTTCCCTTCTTCCCTTTTGTCTTTAATGAAGCATCGCCTCTCTCTCCTCCCATTCATTCTTTCACTCTTCTCCTGTCTCAAGGAGGAGATCATCATTCCTCTGCTTTGATCCCTCATTTCATGCCTCACAAATGAGGCAAAATTCACAAAATAATTTGTAAATTATTTATTCTCTAGTGGGTACCTTTAGCTTCTTTGGCCAATAAATATGTCCACATCTTGCTCTTTAAAAAATATGTCCACATCTTGCTCTTTAAAAAACAACAACAAATATATATATATAATATAAAATCTTTGATCATCTAGCCATCTTTAGCTTATATCTTTTCTCTTTTTATACTTTTCTTCAAGGACATATTTTTTACATGAGTTTGCTTATCTTTGTTTTCTCCATTTCCTCAGTTTTCTATCACCGCAGTTTAGCTAGCTGTGTATCTAGATCCTTCACCTTTAAGGTTTTTGCTCTGGACTTACAGTCTAACACTGTTCTACCAAATACGAGCTGTGTGACCGTGGTACGTTACCAACCTCTCTGCTTCACTTCCATCAGCCATATGTGATAGTAATACTAGTATCTACCTCATAGGATTGTTTTGAAAATTAAATAAGATAACACATGAAACAACTTAGAACCATTTCTGGCGTATCATAAGATTTATCTTCACCATTATTATTATTCTTAGTTTGGTACCACAGTTTGCTATTTTTAATGTGAATTATCAGCTGGCACAAATGATTATTTCTTGAAGTTAAATTGACTAGTGTCTATTTTTCAAGACTAATATGTTAATTTTCGAGGAGAAATATAGCTCATAAAATATACTTGAATCCCTCCGACTCAGTTACACTGATCATATAAATCTTTGAAAACTTTATAATTTTTCTTGGTAGCCATAACAAATTTCTCCTCCAGACAGACAACATGAGCCAGCTCATGTAAAGCTAGTAGATGACATTTATGACACAGGTCCAAACTGGGCAGACAGCAGCTTTCCCTGTCACATAATGATAAAAAAAAAAAAAGCAGTAATCTGTTTAGAAATGACGAGTGCTAGCATTCAAACATTTATTAGAGTCAGACACAGAATTGATTGCTTTATATCGTGGTAGTCTATTTCTCGCCCTAGGCAAGACAACTGATTTCTTAGAGACTGGTGCCTATGGAGGAGCACAGCAGCCAGGCATCTGAGCAGAGACGGGGACCGGGCCGCCTGATTCTGAGACTTGTATTCCTCACCTCTGTGCTGTCCTCTTCTTGTATTCTTCTAGCAGGAGTTTCTGAGATGCATTAGTTGTGCAAAGCCTCAGGCCTCCTCATTTTTGCTAATGTACCATGGAATCCAATTTAAAAGTAGACCAATTTGCTCCTGCAAACTTTTGATATAATGGTTAACAAGAGCAGTTTTAAATTTTTAAACCTTGCATAACGTTGCTTACAACACTGTAAAAAGAATATGTCTAACACAAAGGACCAGCCCTACTTTGTAGATCGCTTTTGAATCAGATCAGTGGAATTTATTCTGTTTCAGTTTATCATGAAAGGTACAAATGATTTCTTTAGAAAATTACAGTGGCTTGCAGATTGAAGCCATTAATCTATAAACACGTCTATTAACTGATAGCCAATCAGCTAGATTGATGTTAGTGGAACAAGGATGTAATAATAAAACTGATACGACCCGGCACAGTGGCTCATGCCTGTAGTCCTACCATGTTAGGAGGCTGAGGCGGGTGGATCACAAGGTCAGGAGTTTGAGACCAGCCTGACCAACATGGGGAAACTGTCTCTACTTTTAAAAAGTACAAAAATTAGCTGGGCATGGTGGCATGTGCCTCTGTAATCCCAGTTATTCGAGGGGCTGAGCCAGGAGAATCACTTGAACCCAGGAGGTGGAGGTTGCAGTGAGCCGAGATTGCAACACTGCACTCTAGCCTGGGTGACAGAGCGAGACTCCTCAAAAAATGAAATGAAAGAAATAATGAAATGAAATGAAGTGAATAGAGCTGACACCCTTGCTTGGAGCATTTAATAGAGCCTGTTGCCATTCTAAGTGTTGTATATAATAGAGCCTGTTGCCATTCTAATCGTTGTATATAATAGAGCCTGTTGCCATTCTGAGTGTTGTATAGGGATTCCTTTTTTTTTTTTTTGCTTTATTGCAGAAGGCGATTTCTAAAAAAATTTTACAGAAGGTCTAGAAATACTTGAAATGATAGAGTTCTTTAAGAAATCACTCTTCCATAGTAAATGATAGGAAAAGTTTTGGTGGAATTCTTCATATTTTTGAATTGTCAACGAAAGTCTTCCTATTTAATAAATTAAGAGCTCTGAGATTGTGTTTCTGTTAACATATTTATCAACTTTTGATCAAAGAGCACAAAATAATTTCAGTTGAACTCCCAAAAAGATTGCCCCATTTACTAAAAACATGCTTTTGTATAAGCCTGGGAATATTTGACATCAAGAAAGTTTGAGTTCATTCATTATGAACCCAGGGATTAAGCAGTAGAATTATGCTGGCAAGAAGGGATGTTAGCCATCTCTACAGATCCACTGTGTGGCGTGTTCTTCATGGGAAAGAATCACCTAATGGAACAGATTCCTGAGTTAGATGTTTTCTCCCCAGGAGAAATAGGCATAAATATTAGGAATTACTAATGGTAATGGATTGTTACTTGGCACTTATAGCTAGAAGCAAAAATTCAGACATGTGTTTATATAAATGATTTAAGCTAACACAAATAAATAACCTTTGATATACTGAGAACAGCTGTTTCTTTGCTAACGTTGAGAAGAACATCATTCATGAATACATGAATGTGGATTTAATCATCATCATCATAAAGCTGTGTGTGTGGGAGGGTTTATAAATAATGTTCTTCAGAAAGTTTAGTTTTTGAGTAATCATACTTAAAATGAGATACGAAAGTACATAGCTTTAAAGGGTTTTTTAAAAAATTCATAAAATCTAATTTCGCTTCCCCTTTCTCTGTCTCTTTTTTTTCTCCTATAGACTTGTTTCTCCGGAGCAGCCACCAAAAGCCAAGTTCCTGACCTTGGGGTCCAAATTCCGCTATAGTGGCCGCACCCAAGCACAGACCCGCCAGGCCAGCACCCTCATAGATAGGCCAGCACCACACTTTGAGCGCACTTCTAGTAAACGGGTCTCCAGGAGTCTAGATGGAGGTAAACACATTTATGATAATTTTGATTTTCATTCATCTTTCTCTAATCCAGTGAGGTCAGAAAATGTTAATCTAGTTAAAAAAGCCACCAGAAACACCCTACAGGGATAGCCATTTTTTCCCCAAGTAAATAAAATGCTATTACTTACACCTACAAGAAAATAATTTTGTTGTGTTTTGGAGTTGTTACTGTTTTTTGAAGTTGTCATACTTTTTTCTTTTTTTCTTTTTTTAAACAGGTTGAACATTCCATATCTGAAAATCTGAAATGCTCCAAAATCAGAAAGTCTTTGAGCACTGACATATGCTCTAAGGAAATGCTTATTGGAGCATTCCAGATTTCATATGTTCAGATTTGGGGTGCTCAGCTGCTAAGTATATATAAGGCATATTTCAAAATACAAAAAATACTAGATATCCACAACACTTCTGGTCCCAAACATTTCAGATAAGGGATACTCAACCTGTATTGTCAGTGCACACAAATATTTGTTAAGAGTTCTCATTTATGAGATGTTGGACATGTTTGTTTTACTGATTTCTCTTGATTGTGATGTGTTTTATGTTCAGTGTCCTGAATCTGTTAATTAATGGGAAAATGTAATTCTAAGGGTTTTTTGGTATGGTAGCATATGAACCTTAATTCAGATGAACACAAAACATTCCCTTCATCAGCAAATGTTCATGAGTGAAACAACTTACTGAAGCTTACCAAACTTTGCATCATATGAGAAAACTTTAGTAGCTTCAAAGGCTTCATTTTAAATACAGCTTTTTGACAAAAAGTAAATATAATGTGTTTGTTCTTTAACCCAAGGGAAAATATGTATAAATGTGAATTTTTTTTTTTCTATTAGAATTCTAATTAGATAGAAATTGAAGTTTTTTTGTAAACTACACATGAAATAAGTTTGATATAAACTACACATGGAAAAAAATATATATAAATTATATGGTCCAAAATGGGTTAAAAATAGGTTTTCTATAAAAGAGCTAAGGTTAAATTTATATTAGAATGCCTTATGAAGGAATATTCTTTCTTTGTAATAGAAAATGATTAGTATGGATAATTTTCTACCCAAAGAAACAGTTTTCCAACAGTTTTGGTTGATTGAACTAAAA